ATTCTTGGTATCAGACAGGCTAATTCATAGCCAAGTTCGATAACATTATCTATATTTGAGTCAAAAGGCGCTAGAGGATTGAATTTAATATTGGAAATCAATATAGCAATCTGAGTTCGTAGGCGGGGTTTGGAGGTCTATTTGAAATCTGTCCCAGAATCCCCTTTTGGCCCTATATTATTTGTTATTCATTTGCTATTATCTTTTATTGTGTCTTCATATAGATGTGAATGTGATAAAGTTAATATGATTAATTCAAAAGACTAAATTATATTATCTAAATTTTATTTCTAGCCTTTCAGCTAATAATGTTTAGGTAAAACTTGAAAATTTTAGAATATATTTTTTAACTATTTAAGTATCAATAGGTAAAATAATTAAAAATAATTTTAGGTAATTACAGAGTTATCATTATTAATTTTAAATACAAATAAATTAATAAAAATATTAATAAATTTGATAAGAACCCAATTAATTTGATTTGGTAAAATTAATATATTATTTAATTATAATAAAATAAAGCTATATGTAAAATTTCAATATATATTATTATTTAAGAATTCCTAATCGATAATAAAATTTATTCTATATTTAAAAAAATTTTTTTTTTATAATTTTTTTTTGCTTATCAAACTATTTTTAAATTAAAAATTCTTTAATTGTCAGTTAAGAATTATCAGCCGCGTATGAGCCAAATTTATCTATATGCGGCATACGATGAGCGGCTAATCACATTTGAAATTTACATCCATTTACATCAATGGTAGGTAGTACTGGTAAATTATTTATGTTTTTTTATTTTTTAATTTGCAAAGATCTTGGAAAATGTATACTTAAATTTAAATTCTTTATCTTATCATATCCGATGCAATAATTTAAATTCATGAAATCATTGTTGTATAACATGATAACCTTTTATCTTTTGTGCGATAATACGGGTTTCCTAATTGATATATAAAAAAGTGCTTTTATTCTATAAATACATAATCATGCTTAGTTCATTCAAGTGAAAATAATAATTAATCATCGATCAAAAATTATTTTATTATTCTAAAATAAGAATGGCGCATCGGAAATAACATTATATGGTTATGTGGGCTTTAAAAATTACATTATGCATAACAGAACTTCATTAAAAAGTATGCGGCGCATTAGTTGCCAATAGTCTACATTTCGTTTGCATTGTGTGACGAAGTGTAATTTTCATGGGGGACAATTCCTATTCGGGGTCATTATTTAAACTAAAGATTAAAAAAAAAGTTCTAATGGTTTAAAAAGTAAATCCTTTTAATCGTTAATATTTAACTTAACTAGATGCATAGTTACAATTTAACAAAGAGCAATTTTTCTCTTTGCCATTCACAAGGTTTTTTTTAAAAATTTGTTGTACCATATTTTGTTTGTAGAAGTAGGATATAAAACTTTGTTATGTATGTAACAATTCTCCTTTGTATCATCTTAATAAAATAATATAAAAAGGAGCCAAAAACGTTAATTTTTCTTATTTTAAATAATTCACCTAAAATCTTCATCATGACTTATAAACTTTACGTTGGGTCTAAGTATAAGTACTCGCTTATACTTATTATTGTATTTGTTACAATATTCATTACTGTCAATTATGCGTCTCCAACTTATGAACTAAAGAGTCAAATTGGTAGTACTCTTCAAAAACGACAAGGTGGTGATGGAGGTGGCGGTGGAGGTGGTGGAGGTGGTGGACCACCAAAAGAAGAGCCGAAAAACGATCCGCCAAAAGAAGAACCGAAAAATGATCCACCAAAAGAGGAACCAAAAAACGATCCGCCAAAAGAAGAACCGAAAAATGATCCACCAAAAGAGGAACCGAAAAACGATCCGCCAAAAGAAGAACCGAAAAATGATCCACCAAAAGAAGAACCGAAAAATGATCCACCAAATAATGGAAATGGACAACCACCAAACAACGGGGATGGTCAACCACCAAACAATGGTGATGGGCAACCACCAAACAACGGGAATGGACAACCGCCAAACAATGGGGATGGACAACCACCAAACAATGGAAATGGTCAACCGCCAAACAACGGGGATGGACAACCGCCAAACAACGGGAATGGACAACCGCCAAACAATGGGGATGGACAACCACCAAATAATGGAAATGGACAACCGCCAAACAACGGGGATGGACAACCGCCAAACAATGGAAATGGACAACCACCAAACAACGGTGATGGACAACCGCCAAATAATGGAAATGGTCAACCACCAAACAACGGTGATGGACAACC